AAAGTTTTCAGTGTTGTTTTGGTTTTTTTTACTCGTTCCTCAGATAAATAATATTTTCATCGTTTAAGAATAAATAAATTAGAAATGTGATGAGTCGAACTAAAAGAAAATGGCTGATCGTGTCTTCCTGTCCCTGCAGAGCACGGTCCACGCCGTCACGGCCACACAGAAGACCGTGGACGGTCCCTCTGGGAAGTTGTGGAGGGACGGACGTGGAGCCTCCCAGAACATCATCCCCGCCTCCACCGGAGCCGCCAAGGCCGTGGGCAAGGTCGTCCCCGAGCTCAACGGGTACGTTGTTACTGAGGTTTGAACCCTGAGCCTGACCTCTGACCCTCGGGGGAATAAGATCAGAACGTTTATGATGATTGACCCTGATCGTCTTGTTACAGGAAACTCACCGGGATGGCTTTCCGTGTCCCCACCCCCAACGTGTCTGTGGTTGACCTGACTGTTCGTCTGGAGAAACCCGTGAGTGTCTCCGTCGTCCTTATTCATCAGTGCAGGAAGTGTTTTTCTAGACTTTGACGACGGTAGAAACACCTGAAGATAATCTGGAGTTAACTGTTTTCACTGTTTGCTGCCATGTTGAGACCTGACGCTCAGAAAACGTCTCCTCCTTCAGGCCAAGTACGACGACATCAAGAAGGTGGTCAAGGCCGCGGCTGAGGGACCCATGAAGGGATTTCTCGGCTACACAGAGGACCAGGTATTAAAAACTCATCACAGGTTTTATTTTTATGTGTAGTGTCATCCAGCAGCCACTAGGTGACAGCGTTCGGTTTCATTCATGTTTTCAGGACCAAATGAAACAGGAAGGAAGATTCAGCCAAACGCACTGAAATGTTTTGAACTCACGTGTTTGTCTCGTCCTGCTCAGGTCGTGTCCACGGACTTTAACAGCGACACTCGCTCCTCCATCTTTGACGCCGGCGCGGGCATCGCCCTCAACGACCACTTCGTCAAACTGGTGTCATGGTGAGTTTGACCTGAATCAATGTGACGTCAGAGTCAATCACTGCTGAATAAAGTTTGTTCTTCATGAAGGACGATGAGTCTCAGCTTCTGGTGTTTGGTGTTTTTACAGTTTATTCTCTGAGCACAAGAACAACATTTTTATAAAATGTATTTATTCATGTTCTGTTTCTATTCCTCTTTTATTTCTTACGACGTATTTTTCTTTTAAAGAACGAACTGTAGCTGCTCAGCTTCATTCTGTGCCTCATATTTCAATCTCCTGTCCAACGTCTGAAGATGAAAGTTTATGTCCCTGATCCATCGGGACTCTCACTTTAACCGCCCTCGCTCTGTTTCCATCGCAGGTACGACAACGAGTTCGGCTACAGCCACCGTGTGTGCGACCTGATCCAGCACATGTTCTCCAAGGAGTGAAGTCTCCTGACGCCTCCATGGTTCCTTCTCATGATTCCCTTCCTTCACATGTAACTGGATGATAAACATCCGTCCCGGGAGCAAACTCCTCTACGACAATCGTCTGTGGTTGATAGAAATAAAACTAATGATAAAACCTTTTTTATATCCTAAAGTCGCCTGTTCAGCACCGATGATTCTCAACTGTCTGGTTCTGAGTGATCTTGTTGCACATGTGGCTCCTTTAGCACGTGACATAATAAAAGTCCTGCACTTTTAATGACGTGTGTTGTATTTGCTGAACATTTATTTTGAAAGGGTTGAAATTGGTTTAACATTGTACATGATATAAGCTCAATATTTACGGAGGTATTATCTGATCCAGATATCTGAACACATCGCTCTCTTGATGAATCTGAAGTAATGGACGGCTGAATGTTTATTTTCTTCAGCAAGAATTCTGAAGCTGTGGTTTCGTTCCTGCTCAGACGAGAGACTCAGTTTGCTGCAGGACATTTAATTTATTTCTGGGAAAACGGCCAAAATGTAGTTGAGCTGAATCAGACTTGATCCCGATGAGGAAGGAAAATTGTCGATCCTGATTATTTCTCATTCATCACCTAAAATAAATGATCACGATGATCTCATGCTCCACCACTTTATTTATTTAATTTTAATAAATAAACTTTTTCATAACACTTTCAGTACATGTAATGAAACACAAAGA